TTAGGCGGGACCGATGGGTGGCTGACGAGGCAATTTGGGGGTTTATGGGAGCTAGGTGGGTGGGGTGGTCGGTGGGTTGAGAGTCTTCGAGGGAAGATTCGGAGATGGGGCGTTTCTTTGCATTAGTTGTGGTGGTGGTTTTGGTGGTTTCGGTATCATACGGTCTTTGTGGGGGGCGGTGGTGATGGGGAAGGGAAATGAGGTTTGAGGTGTAGCCTGTGAAATCGGCCGGGGGCGGGGCGCGGTATGCTTGAGGATACAAGTGTGGGCCATACGGGGATTGGTGGCCGTTTGGTTGTTCGACGTTGTGGAATTTGCGCTGGTTGTCGTAGTTATGTGCTATGTTGGCGGGAGATGTTTCGGGGGAAGCGGAGCCGTTTGAAGATTGCGTGGCGCCAGCGGGAGATTGCTCTCGCATTGCAGGCACTACACGTTTCCTTCTCTTGATAATCGACTTCTTCATCGTCGGTGGACGATAGGAGCCGTGGAGTTTGTGGTAGAGTCCTATGTTCACGCATCGTTAACCACCCATCCACAGCAAATAGTCGTTATCAAATAGAAAAAAAATACTCACCACAAGCGTTGCAAATAGGATGGCCATGCTCATCACGTCTCCAGAGAGGAGTTACTGTCGTCTGGCAGTTCTGACAAGCAATATGTAGAGTCATCCCGTCCGCATTCGACGCGCCAGCCTCACCATCAGCACCTCCGGTGCCCGCTTGGCTTAACGCCTGCGGGGAAGTCCTTCGAGTATGAAGCGCCAGGGCATTTCGAGCAGCAGACTTGTAGACACGATTGTTATAGGCAGGACATCCATCGCAGCCTTCTGCACCACCAGTGCCATTGCAACTCCCTCCGCCTGGGCACGATCCCGAAGGTATACATTCCTTGACGGCATAGTTTGACCACGTATCCGGCCGTTGCGGATCACCTCCATCGCTGGGAATTGGTGATGTGCTGCCCCGTGACTTGTCAGGGGCTTGGGCGGAATTGGGGCCGTACGGAGGCGCCAGAGTACGGGAACGGTTGGTCGGGCGATCAGCATTCCTTGCTTTGAGATACAAGCCGCAAGCGTTACAAATTGTGGCTCCAGTGGGAGATCTCCGCCATAGCGGTGTTTGTTTCGTACCGCAATTGCTATTTACCAATCAAATAATTATTAGTATACTCAATAAAGACAAACAATAAACGAAAGAGTTCTCGAGGGCAAAAATGGCCTACGCACCTGCATGAATGTCCCGTGAAAACAGACTCCTTGCTCGGCGCTTTAGGAGATAACTTCAGCAATAATGGTCCATTTATTGTACTGGAAGATACGGGCGACGGTTGGTCCTGGGGCTGCTCAGTAGCGCCCTGATAACCCTTTTGCGACGAGTCCATTGTGTTCTTTGTGTCCTCCTGGACGCTCTCCAAGGGTTTCGCTATATCTTGCCTATCTGGCATGACGCTCACCCCGCTATCTTGTTCACCTCGCGCAGAGGACACCAGCTGGTGCGCTGCATCCAAATCTTTTGCGGATGGATGTCGCATGAGAGTATCTGAGCTCTCTGAATGTGATCTTGTATCCTCCATAAGTGGCCTAGTGATCAACAGCCCCGTCATACTAGTTTCCCGACACGATTTCGTAACCAACGGTGCGGATTCGGGGTAGAATAACGAGGTTCAAGAAGAGTATTCCGAGAAACGGGCCAAGAGTAGAGAGGCTAAGAGGGCCGAGGAAAGCGACACAAGTTGGTTGATTTGACTTGGTGTGTAATCTGTATAGGACTGCTTTGTTCGAAGGGATGCAGATATTGACGTGAACAACTAGGTTTATATCTGCGAGTATTTGACAAAAATAGCTTTTGACTCGACCAGCACACCAAGTACTGTTTGCTGTAATTCCAGGCAGCCAACCAGACCGAGCCCAGTTCCCAGTTTCAGTTTGATCACGATCTGATTAGATAAACGGGTGCCTCTTCTAATGGAAGCTTGTGGATCACAAGACAGACTCGGGACCCAGTCGAGCGGGCGTGTAGCGGTCCCCTATACCCCTGGTTTTACAAAAGTCGCAAACCCTGTCAACGAGATGCTGGGGGAGAAGCTCTTGAGCTGAGGGCGGTGCAGGTCTCAACCAGGAAACAGCCCGGAGGCGGGAGCCACCTTTGAAAGGGATAAAGAAATAATAAACCAGTGCCAGAGAGGGGTTAGAGGGGAAGAGAGATGCTGACACAAAATAATTTGATCGTACAGATGATATTAGTTGGGTGAGGATGAAGGGAGGTAATATTTATGAAGAGGATACGAAGAGTGAGGAGTCGAAGGATGGAAGGCGGCTGTGGGCGTGCAGAGAGGAGAGAAGAGAGGAGGCGTCCTAAACAGTCAGTCAAGTGGGCTATGATCAACAAAAAGTGTTTATTATTTTATAGTCATGTCAATATCTTGGATATTTAGGTATTTTTAGTTACTCGCGATATTTTAAGGACTACACGACTCACGCTTCAATACTGATTGCGCAGCTACATTAAATCATAAATCATGTATTTCGAAACCTTGGGAATTCCTATCTCTCACGGAGAGAGTTTAAAAGGGCTGAACATATTGCTTATACCAAACAGGGATTTTTCCTTTTGAGGGACCTCTCCTTTCGGTGAGAGGGTGTCGCATCTAGGGACTGGATAGATAGGTGCGGAGTCTCCAGGTCTCCAGAAGAATAAATTCAGACAGCCCTTCCGTATAGCTTTCCCCCATATCCAAGCCTTTTAACATGGGCCCCGATAGAGGCACCACCACATCATGGAACACCAAGGTTTGATGGATTGGATTGGACTCATTAAGAGTGTTCTGAACCTTTTCACTAAGTAGCTAACTTAAACTAACTAGTTAACTTATCAAACGGTAGGGATTAAACAGCTGCCAGCAACCAGTTGCCGATGCTGCTTATATTTTGTGCCTTTCCCATTGGACCCTGCTGGGATTCAGGGAACTCTCTTTGTGTGAGACTTGCGCTTATTTTCTCTCAAGCCATTGTTTGAAAGGCTCAACCTTTTTTTCTTTTCTTTTCAATCTTTTCTTTCCCCTTTTTGCTTCTCTTTATTGTAAAGCTGTCCATAATCTTATCCTGCTCTTTGCTCTTCTCGTTTACCGATCCGTGTACCGAACCCTCAATAGTCGAAGTGGTCGAGAACTACTGCGGTGGGGATGTACCTCAGAGTTCACCGCCAAATCTCCTCACTCGTGTGGTTGTTCTCCGTAGGCAGTGAGCAAAATTAAAGTTCTCTCTTATTACGGTGCCATTCATCGTCTGTTCGTAGAATATATTATGCAAAAAGGACCCTCGTGGATGTCTCCTCAATTTCAACCCTGACATTGATTGAATCCCCAGATAAGATCAGATCAGATCAGATGAGATGAGATCACTGTCAACACTGCGTCACTGTCAGTCCCCTTCCAACCCGATAGTGTGATTGCCGATGATTTTCGGAGTATAACCAAAAGAATAAAAGACCAAAGGGTAAAACTATAAAAAATAAAAATAAAATAAAAAGTAAAGAAAAGAAAAAAAAAAACCATATAAAAAAAAAAAAACCCTAAAAAACACTCTTCCCCCGGATCAGATGGTGCTTTTCTTATTGGATCCAGCTTTTAGCGCCATCAACGGAAATTGGCAGAGCTGCTGCCAAAGGCTGCAAATCAACAATACAGCCGCTCTGATTGGCTGGGCTGATAACTAAGCAACCGAGAGATTAGTTGAACTAGTTGATCTTTTCCATCTGATAAGACGTCAGAGGGTTTCTAAGCGGCAAATATGATGTGGTCGTTGAATGAACTGCCCGGATGAGCGACACCTCCCCAATCTGGGCCTTCTTGATGGGCAGAGAACGGAATAACAATTAAATGCCATGCATCATCTCACACGGAGGACCGCTTGATAAGCCGTAACGTGGACAATTTTGATCTCGGATCCAGCTATTCATGCCACTCGCCGGAATCGCCGGAATTGTACTCTGGCATAATAAACTTGGAAGACCGCTCCCGTCTTCAGTCTTCGTTGAATTTCCCAAATGGGGTGTCCTATAACTAACAGCAGAGATCTATGTGGCTGCGAGATATCGTGGAAGGCTGATTCCAAATCCCATCCATGAGATGAGACGTTTCGTATCCGGTAGGATGATTCTTTCCAAGGATTAATAGAGGCTGACCGAGGCCCTCTCTTCGGCTCGTGGACGTCCACTGTCGTAGAAATGGAAGAGCGGGGTGTCGTGAATTTGGATATAAAACCCAGCTAGCTACCCGTCGCAGTTTTCCCCGTTTATATCATTTCTCCTCCTGGGTTATCATTGCACATAGCATATCGATCGTCTCTTCCATTCCTTCCTCAATGATCTCAATGCTGCTGGTGTATGTGTATATAGATATCCTTGACCGGCGCAATAAAGCTTTTCCAAACGTTAAGGGTGCAGCAAGTACGCATTCCTGTCACTAATAGAAAGGAAGTTGGGAGATCAAAACCTCAATTGTGTATGTTTACAGTTTTCAACACAATGCCATTGACGAAACCTGAAAACTTGTAAGAAAAGAAAACAAGGCCCCAAAAAATTGAGAGAGAGTGAGAGAAAGGGAAGACATTCTAACAATCTGGAATATTTTAACCAGTAGAGAGACCCCAAAAATATACAGCACTAGAGGCTCATTCGGAGAAGTAAAATAGCGGAAATGCTACACGCAACACGCATTATCCTCCCCCTATCCTCCCCCACTCTCTGTCCCCAAGGAAAAGATATTTAGCAGTCCAGTGTTTTTTTTTTTTTTTTTTTTTTTTTAAAAAAAAAAAAAAAAAAAAAAAAATTCCCCCTCTCCAATCTCCACCGTCCTCTCAGCCAGAAAAAAAGCGCCAGAATATCTAGCAATATATGCCCCACCGGAACGGCTAACAGATGTACAACACAGCACAACAATCCAAATATCATCAACATCATCCCCCTTATAATTCATAACTTATTTTATACAAAAATTCCCGTCTAAACCTGCTCAGCTCCCCATGTGGCATCCGCCTCGCGCATGGTGGATGGTGCTTCTATCGACGGCACAAATTCCAAGACAGCGTATCCGAGACCGGCGAAGCCGACGGCGGTGCCGGCAATGATGCGCAGGGTATGTCCCTCGATGAGTATGGAGCCGATGAACACGTACACTGGAAGATTTTTCGGCTAGGGTTAGAGATGTGGGAGGAAAGGAAAGAAAAGGCATGGATGTGACATCGGTATCTGTGTATGGTGTCAATGAAAACTTACGCAGGCCCCGTCCGAGGAAGGAGAAAAGAAAAGATGCATAGCGCGAGAGGTATGAGGGGGGGTTTGGGGCGAATTCCAGAGCGCCGACGACTACAGTTTTTAGTTTGAAAGGGTCAGTCAGCGGCAGTTTTCCAGCGCCATCTTTGGCTTTTATTTAAGGTCCCGGTCTCCTGTGGAGAGGTGTAAACGTAAAGAAGACTCAAGACTCACCCAAACCAAATAGAATCACATAAACCCCAATAATAACGCTGCCTCTGTATCATCGAATGATTTACCGGAAACCGCTCTGTTAGCCAAAATTTATCCGGGCTGCGGTTCCACTGCAGGTGTTTCCACGCGCATGCAATTCTGCCACAATACCTTCTGGGGAACAAGAAGAGAAACCCCATCTCCTCAGTGAAAGGAAGTCGACTGCTTACATGCTTACGGGGAAGAACTGGCTGATTCCACCAAAGACCATAATGGCCCCGACGCACAGGTTGATTATGCGGCTGTAAAATTCACAATTATCATAATCCGTTAGCGTTTACTTCACATGCTATATCCTATGGACAAACTGCGTCGCAGAAGACATCTTGCTTTTCCAATTAACCTCTACCCTCCCATGAAGAGACGAAGGAACGCGGGACGTACAAGATATTGGAGAGGTCCATCTTGCTTCTTTGTATGAATCGGAAATGCCTGAAAAGAGCAACAAGAAAACTCCAGCGCCTGCTCTATACTCGTCGCGATATCGTTTGGTTTTCTTTTGTTGTTCGTAAAACTGCGCAGGTATGGATCTTTTACCGCGGTTGTAAATATCGCAAAGCGGTGGGTTCTCGATGACGATAAAAAGCGTTTACGGATCGTAAGAACGTCAAAGATAAGTTGGGTCGCAAAGGAGGGAAATGGAAATTGGAAATGGAAGCATAAAAAAAAAAATAATAAAAAAATAAAAAAACACAAAAAAAATAAAAAATAAAAAAGGTTGTAGCCTAGGGCAAGCTTCGTTCTAGTTCTTCCTCCCAGTGCTGTCACTTGGTTCAAACAAACTATGTAACATTTGTGGCTGGGGAGGGAAAAACAAAGTGGTTTGTTTTGTGCCGCTGTTTTGGCTGCGGATTTGCCGGATGCTTATTTTACTGCTCTGGAAAATAGATAAATAGCCCTGTGAAAAGAAGGGCAGAAACAATAGTATATACGTAGAAGGTATTAGAAAACTACAGATGTGCCGGAGTTTAAAGAGAGGTGTTACAACCTAGGAAGAAGTTGTTTGTGAAGCACTCCAGGTGTTAACTATTTACCAAAACAAGGGTTTGATGGCTGGTAATTTCTGACAGCGGGATATCGCAACGTCAACTTGGCGGAGTCAGCCACAGCACCGAACGGAAGGGCATAAGGGCTCTGACTTGCAACATGAGTTCTGGTGGCCAATTCTCTTTGAATACAAGAATCATTTGAATGAAAAATATGCCTGGTAGGGACATTATCTTAATTGTGCATGACGGTGTCTGATTACAAGCCCCATATCGTCGACAGCTAACTATCCTTATCCAGCGGTAGATTACGATAGTTATATCTATCGAAAATGTGTCGGCTCCCCAAATATGCCACATCCACACTCCTGACATCTTAAACCCGCCCGTGCGACCCCGGGAAAAGCCATTGGGATCATTCACATCCCTCATTTTCTTTGCATGCTTCAACTTCTGGGGTCTGGGTCTCAACCGGTCAAAGTAATCCTGTGAAACGCATCGTTCATAAACAGCGGCAGATATCCATCAGGAAGCGTCCCATTCTTAATCTCATCCAGAGTATCCTTACGGATCCCGTCGACGAGGGATGCCATTGCCCCCTCCGTCCGTGGGGATGTCAGATATGAGATTGTACGCATTGTTCATCACCATGAAAATTCTATCAACAGAGTCGTCAAGATCGAGCAGGCCCCGCCATTCTTCCGGGCATGCCGAGCGAGCCGTTTGGGTATTGGCTGGTAGGTCAGAAAGGTCTGCAGGCCTGGAACGAGCTTATTTTCTGTCACGATAGATTCCAAAGCGGTTGTTGATTGCTTGCAGGGCTTCAGGGTGGGGAGATGTGGTGGCTTCAACTGCTATGTCTAATATTTGGTCGCTGATAATGCTTCCATCTTGAAGACTGATAAGCTCCCAATAACTTTGCTTTTTTGCAGGTGTTGGGTAAAGGGCCGATGGTGGTAAATTTATCAAACGTCCCGGGAGGGGCAACTTCACTGTCATAAAATAGGCATACCAACAAGATATTCACCATGTTTATTGCCAGGGATTATGCCGTGTGATGCAATGATGGCAGCCTTATCATCGGAGTAGTATTCTGTGAAGTCTCGAATGGCAGCTAGGACTTCATTTGTCTTGTCAGGGCCGAATGTCAGGTACCCACCCCAGATCTATCCGATATCTATTAGCTATGAAATGTCCTAGAACTACTTTGTTCGGCAAAATCAAGCCTCAAACATACTTTTCCAATTTTGTGTGCTTTTAAAGTGTAGGTGGTAACGATTCCATAGGCATTCCCGCCGCCACGGAGGACATTGAACATGTCAACTTTCTCACTGCTGAATGCTTTGGCGATTTTGCCGCTTGCAAATGCAACATCAAATTGAACCACTGTGTTCATAGACCAGCCAACTTGAGTACTCCAAAAATTCAACCCACCTAACTCAAAAAGTAGCCTTTAGTTTCAGAACACGGCGGTTGTAGGTTTTGGGATGGATATGCTTACCCCCAAGAATAAATCCACCCACACCAACATGTCCAATACGAGCTCCAGCTGCGGTTACCCCTTGGGGTTCGAGAGTCTTGACAACATGGGTCCAGCGGTTACCAGCGCCAATTCTTACTGTGCCTGATGCTGCGTCGTATTTGATCTCATTGAAATCCTTTAGGCTAATAAGAGGCCCGCCGTCAACTCTCGAGAAGTTGCCGTTCGGATTATTACCGCTACTCTTTACCGCAAAGATCTCCTTATTCCTTCCGAGAGTCTTCACGATTATCGACAGCTCCTCCGGGGTTTTCGGCACTAGGATACATGGAGGCTGCAATCTTCCGCATTCCGATGACCTTTGTGAACATAAAAATCCTCTTGGACGAGGGAAAACAACACATGGATTGGCTTTCAAGTGACAGTTCTACACATCTCAACTATGCCAATATTCCATCTGGTCTTGCTCGTACGGGGGTGTCGATTTCTTCTTGATCTCAATATTCGTAGCGGCCGCGATTTTCTCACATGTTGAAATATACCTCTCGCACGTCGAAGTGTTATTGAATCACTGACGAAGCACGCGAGCACTGCAGCGGACGAGAGAAGGTGGATCATCTTTTATTTCGAGCTATTTCAAGTTGGGCTGAACAATGGCCATGATATATGAATATCGCGCCCCACGCTTGAAACGAAACTCACCAAGTGCCATCAAACTACCCAATTGCTTCTTTGGATGACAACCCCCATTTATATGGACATCCTTGAGTATCCATCAAGATTCTCCCTCTTTCAGCTCATATTGTTGGATGCGAGGATTGTTATGTCCGCACAGGAATGGATAAATACGCCACTACTCAAAATTCGGACTGAATATCGGTGATCGGTGACGACGTAGTTAGGAAACCCTCCGTATGCATAAGGCAGAACATCGGAAATTAACAAGTCCAGGGCTATCATGTCAGGAGCTGGATATGATTGTAGGATTTCGGCGGTGGGTGGTTTTCGGACTATCGTAACTAATAGATTGGTCCCGGAGTAGTGCTTTGGCGTACGAACATACCCTCCCACCACTTGCTCCCAGCTCATCCTTCGGGATCATTTGTCTAGAGCAGTTACGGGGTTCTACGAGAATACTAATTCACAGGCTGACCCACCCTTGTCAACCACCACCCTCCCGGAGCAGCGGCGGATTCCAATTGAGCTCAGTTCAGCACGGAGCGCGTATAATACATATATATTTATATACACGTATAAGCGTCGTTAAATACATGCGCGTCGGAGAGCGGAAGCACAAAAGCTCAACAACTCACTGACTTTCCTCCATATAGCTTTATCTGATCCTTATGAAAATATTGTTAATTAGTAGATATGAAGATGCAACAAGCCTACGGCTCCCAATGTTGAAGACTAAGCATTGCCTTATTTTCGAACCCCGATATATTCGTGCGATTCAGGATGTCATATCTTATCACCACAACGGCGGGTTAGGTTTAGGGGTCGGGTTTGGGGGTACCTATATACCCAGGTAATTCTTGAACTTGGAGGGTTCCTTTCTGCTCAGCTCTCACAAATTACCAAAGAGTATACCTTCTAGAGAAGTATATTGAGAAATATAAAGAGATCAAACGGAGTATTTCGGCATCAGACGGGCAGAAAACTTATTCACATCATTTTGAAATAACTAGCTCTGGCAGAAATAATCTCGCAGCAGACGCTGTAGTTAACTACAAGATCCTTGAGAGCGAGAATTGGGATAAACATGTTTGGAAAGCTCCAACAGGAACGCCAAATTACGATTATGATATTGATGCCCTCGTTTTATAATATCATTGTCAGATTCAAGGGTGAGGCTATATACTTCCCGCAGACGAGGCTTCGTTCCAGTCATTTATTCAAGATTCTCGAGTTTGAAGCAAATCTGAACCTGGAAAGGAGATGTATGTTATGAAGTTCCATTTCCAAGGGTTGCCCCATTCTCCTGTTCAATTGGATGCAAGAATCAAATTGCAAAATATCACGAATGCCGTATATTGACATCTGCCACCAAATACAATCCCCAATCCAAAAAAGAAAAATATTACATGAAGAAATAAGGACCCTCAATGGTCTACAACAGAGCCTTCCCCTTCCCCTTCTCCAGCACCTCCCTAACCACCCTCTCTGCAGCCATCGAACACCCCCACGAAGCCTGATACCCAAACCCACCATGCCCATAGTTATGAACGACAGGTACCCCGCCAATCCTCTCCGCCTCCAGCCTCACGCCTCCTTCCCGCAGCGGGCGCAACCCAACGCCATGACGGATGATATCCAGTCCCTCGATACCCCGCTGCTTGCCATTTCCATCCTTCCCCACGAGATCCGGGCAGAGTTCCACGCATCGTTTCATGATGCGCACGGCGAGGGAAGGGTCAGGTTGGCTTTCCCAGTTGTGCTTTTGATAGGAGCCGCCGAGGATTGTGCCGCCGCCTGGAAAAAAGGTGTTAGAAAGTTTTGCTTGAAGAAATCTCACCCAAACGGGCACCCCTGGGGGACGGGTGTTCAGGTCATATATTAAGGGGGTAACGATAAAAGGAGGAAGGGAAGTATGCCACCAACCAGCCGCCCGCGTCATCATATAACAAACCTCATCGTCCCCGTCATCCGATCCGGAAAGCGATGCCATAAGCCCCGAAGTATTCCGGACAACCACAATCTGCCCGCGGGCAGGGTACAGCTGGTGATCCTCAACTCCGCCCAGCTTTCGCGATGAGAGGCCCGTACAGTTGACGACGAGATCAGCCTTCTGACCCGAGTGATGCGCGAACGCGGCATCGACGATGTGTTTGAAGGCGGCTCGTTTGAAGACGACACTGTTTGCGAGACACTCGGAGACGAGCCATGGGAGGTAGATGCCAGTATTGATGCAGACGGAGGTGAAGGAGGTTGCAGCGTCTACTCCGGGGGGTAATTCCTCCTCGGGGAGCCGTCGGAACTGTTATTACAAGCGATGTGAGATATTTGCGGGTGTCAACGGTTGTTGATCTCCCCCATAAAGAAGGAAAAAGGGCCGTTACAAATAAAAGAAAGAGAGTAACGACGAACATCTGGAACGACATCTTTAAACCAGGGATCCGACTTTGAGAGCTCACAAAACCACTGTCCCGTAGTAGATTGTGCGTCCTTGTCACGAGTATTTATCACCGCCCCTGAACTAAAATGTCAGGATTCAGTTCTTCCACACACAACATCAAAAAAAAAAAAAAAAAGGGGGGGGGGGGGTGTGTGTTCAATAATTAAACAATAAAAAGAAAATGCCCACGTTGAAAATGAATACCAGTCCTCGGGTTATTCTTTGCCAAATCAGATAGCACGGGCCATGTGTCCCGTTCCCACTGCGAATGGGCACTGCCAGGCTCCCCCACCCTGCTGCAGATAGTTAACTAAGAATCAAAAAAAAAAAAAAAAAAAAAAAAAAAACCCGAGCAAATTGCAAATTTTATTTAATGGTTAGGAATGGAAGCGGCGCGTAGACGAAATATCCTCTAGACATGACATGACTCACGGAAGATAATTTGCACCCGCCCACGGCGAACAGTACTCGATGTCATAGTCGCCCGGCATATGCTTTGCCGCGACGGTGACCTGGTTGGCCGGATCTCTCGACAGCAGGACGGCAGTGGTCAGTCCTGTGACTCCGCCTCTGGGTTAGTTACATGTCAGTAACTTAACCCAATTTACAGCCTGGTTTAAGGGGTGTGATGAGTTTGTTCCACGGAATCTTTTGCAGCGCAAGGCTCACGCTTACCCGACGACGACGATCTTGTTTGGGGCCATTGGCGGTATAGGGGGGTGGAAGAGGGGACTTGTCGTGTGGGTGGTTGGTATTAGGTAGGGAATGCCAGTCAAGGGACGATGGAGGAAGCTCCATGCATTATTTATATATATCTATCTATCTCTATATATATATATATTTAATTGCAGTGGGAGGGAGCAGTTTCATATATCTTCATCAATCTTTTGCGGAGGCTCCGTGTGGAGATTCTTCCTTGCATCGAGCTTTCGGGTTATCGCCGGCTTGCGGGCGTCGAGTGGGTCCCGTATTCGCTGTGAGGATATCCACACTTGGCTGGTGGCTGCAAAATAACAGGTTGGCTGTGTGTCGTCTATCTATGAAATTGTTATTTGTAAACCAGATGGCAAGCAAAGTGCAGCATTCCATCAGATCTAACAGACAAGTTAATTACAATCTAAGATGGTTGGTTGGTTGATTAATTCAGGAGTCAGTTACGTTGCTGTCATGGGATCGTAAAAGTCTACACTAAACTCTTCCACGGGCACTTTCAACCGGGAATAGAGATAGTAAAGGGATAGCAACAGCAGCCAGGAAACATGAGAAATAGGGAAAATAGAGAGAGTAAATGGGTTTAATGAGATATCCTCCCCCCTCCCCCTGAGTAAGTGGGTGTTCGTACTATTCGTGCGCTTAGGACGGCTTGGTTATTGGCACCGCCCGGATGCTCCCTGCCACGGGCCCGTGTTGTCTTTGTAGGGGGAGTGCCCCCTGTTTTTTGTTTCAAGCACCCCCCCTTTTCTTCGGCTT